GCATCAACTCTTCTTCAGTCTTCCTTACTCATTGACCAGCTCTCATATGCATATGAGGCATTTTTACTTGTCAGCATGTCAGAGAGGTCTTTTGCAGATTTGCCCAGGGCAATACAACGCCTGATTTGTTGACTGCGGCTTCGATGGGTGTTGATTGTGGATCCAAATAAAACGAAATTGCTGACTACTTCAATCTTTTCTCCATTTATTGTGATGTTGCTTATTGATCCAGTTGTGAGGATATTTGTTTCGTTGCGGTGTATCCATACTGGAGATAGTCTTTCACCTTCATCAGTAAGTTATTCATCTTCACTTTCAGCAAGCAAGGTTGTGTCCTCTGCATATCGCAGGCTTTTAATGAGTCTGCCTCCAATCCTGATGCCACATTTTTCTTCACATAATCCACTTTTTCAGATTATTTGCTCAGCATACAGATTGAATAAGTATGGTGAAAGGATACAACTGTGACACATGTCCGTCTTGATTTTAAACTATGTAGTGTCCCCTTGCTCAGTTTGAATGACTGCCTCTTTCTTAATCTATGTACAAGTTCTTAATGAGCACAATTAAGCATTCTACAATTCCCATTCTTTGCAATGTTGTCCATAATTTGTTATGATCTACACAGGTGAATGCCTTCACATAGTCAACAAATCATAGGTAAACATCTTTTTGGTATTCTTTGCTTTCAGCTAAGATCTAACAGACATCAGCGATGATATCCCTCATTCTATATCCTCTTCTGAACCCAGCTTGAATTTCTGAAAGTTCCCTGTCAATATACTGCTGCAACCATTTTTTAATTATCTTCAGCAAACTCTACTTGCATATGATATTGTTTGATAATTTACACATTTTAAAGAAAGGTTGGATCACCTTTCTTTAAAATGGGCACAAATGTGAATCTCTTCCAGTCAGTTGGCCAGGTCTTCCAAATTTCCTGGCATAGATGAGTAAGATGTTGAAACATCTCCATGGTTGTTCCCTCAATTCCTGCAGCCTTGTGTTTTTTTCTTTTTTTGCCAATTCCTTCAGTGCAACTTGGACTTCTTCCTTCAGTACCTTTTGTTCTTGATTGTATGCTACCTCCTGAGAAGGCTGAACATCGACAAATTCCTTTAGGTCTCTGAAATGTCCCAAGGTGGTAGCCAACTCAAAACGGGAGTCTCCAAAGGCCCACTAACATTCTCCAAGTCCTTCCTTCCTACGCTCTTCCCCTTGCCACAGAGCCCCACGCTGCTTTGTTCTCTTTCTACCTGGCCCCTTCTTTCTTGTTTTCCCCAAACTCAGACCTAACTATGACAACAAACCTTATTAGGAGCCCAAGTTTAGTCCAAAGACTCCAAAATATGTGTCTTGGGAGAAGTAGTTCGACCTGCAGTAGATCAGTCTGCATCCCTATTAATAAGAGTGGCACGGATATGCAAGTTTCCTGTGGATTAGGGGATACCAAGGAATGTAATCAAATCTAAGCCTTCTGCTAGTGCCTCAGTTAGGAACACCACCCACCAGCAAAGAACTCTCCAAAAAACACACTTTGGGTATTTCTAAGTGTTTGGAGCTGAAGGAGGTGAAAGGTTAAGTTATACAGTTACATAGGAACTGGACATGTAAATTGACAACTTGCACTCTAGAACTCTGGCTTTTTCATGGGGAACATGTGAAAACTCTTAGGGACTTATTAAGGCATTTGACTGCTAAGCAGAAGGCTGACAGTTCAAACCCACCAGCCACTCTACAGAAGGAAGACTGGGCAATCTACTTCTGTAAAGATTTACTGCCTTAGAAACCCTAAGGAGATCGCTATGAGTTGGAATTGACTCAATGGCAGTGAGTTGGTTTTTTTTTTTTTTTACCAGTATATGACTTAATTTTCAGCTTAACCTCTTTCAGAAAGACTTCTTTCAGCAATTAAATAATAAAAAAGAATGTACACTAAGACAATAAAACAAACAGGGAAGGAAAGCAAGATTAATATTCCTATGTGTAAAAAATGTAAAATAATTCAACCTACTGGTAGTAAATTTTCCAGCAAAAATAGACATGCACCTAATTTAAATATCTAAGGCTTTACACCAAAAATCTTGGCCAGATGACTCTAATTCTGCTGTCAGATATCCAATACTTTAAAATTCTTAGAGGGAAAGTATTGGAATTAGGTCTGTTTGTTGTTGTTGTTGTTGTTGTTAAGTGCCGTCGAGTCGTTTCCGACTCATAGCAACCCCATGCACAGCAGAACGAAACACTGCCCGATCCTGCACCAGCCCCACAATCCCTGCTATACTTGAGCCCATCATCGCAGCCACCATGTCAATCCATCTCATTGAAGGCCTCCCCCTCTTTCGTCGACCCTCCATCCTACCAAGCATGACATCCTTCTCCAGGGAATGGTCCCTTCTTACAACATGACCAAAATAGGTGAGATGAAGTCTGGCCATTCTTGCTTCCAAGGAGCATTCCAGCTGCACTTCCTCCAGGACAGATCTGTTAGTTCTTTTAGCAGTCCATGGTACTTTCAGCATTCTTCGCCAGCACCAAAACTCAAAAGCATCAACTCTTCTTTGGTCTTCCTTATTCATTGTCCAGCTCTCACATGCATACGAGGTGATTGGAAATATCATGGCTTGTGTCAGGCACACCTTAGTCCTCAAGGAGATATCCTTGCTCCTCAGCACTTGAAACAGTTCCTTTGCAGTTGACTTTCCCAATGCTACACGTTGTCTAATGTCCTGACTGCTGCTTCCGTTGGTATCGATTGTAGAACCAAGCAACATGAATTCCTTGACAACCTCAATCTTCTCTCCATTTATTGTGATGCTGCTCATTGGTCCAGTTGTGAGGATCTTTGTTTTATTTATATTGAGACGTAATCCATACTGCAGACTGTATTCTTCAACCTTCATCAGTAGGTGCCTTAAGTCATCCTCACTTTCAGCAAGCAAAGTTGTATCGTCTGCATATCTCAGGTGGTTAATGATTCTTCCTCCAATCCTGTACCACGTTTTTCTTCATATAGTCCAGCTTCTCGGATTATTTGCTCAGCATATAGATTGAATAAGTGTGGAGAAAGGATACAACCCTGACGCACTCCCTTCTTGATTTTAAACCATGTAGTGTCCCCTTGATCTGTTCAAACGACAGCCTCCTGGTCAAGGTACAGATTCCTCATGAGTACAATCAAGTGCGTGGGAATTCCCATTCTTCTCAATGTTATCCATAATTTCATGATCCACACAATCAAATGCCTTTGCATAGTCAATAAAACACAAGTAAACATCTTTCTGGTATTCTTTGCCTTGAGCCAAGATCCATCTGACAACAGCTAGGATATCCCTTGTTCCATGTCCTCTTCTGAATCCGGCTTGAACCTCTGGAAGTTCTCTGTCAATATACTGCTGCAAACGTTTCTGAATTATCTTCAGTAAGATCTTACTTGCATGTGATATTAATGATATTGTTCTATAATTTCCACATTCTGTGGGATCACCTTTCTTTGGAATGGGCACAAATATGGATCTCTTCCAGTCAGTTGGCCAGGTAGCTGTCTTCCAAATCTCTTGGCATAACTGAATGAGTGCCTCCAATGGGGCATCTGTTTGTTGAAATATCTCAATCGGTATGCCATCAATTCCCGGAGCCTTGTTCTTCACCAGTTCTTTCATTGCAGCTTTGACTTCCTCCTTCATTACCATTGGTTCTAGATCATACGCCACTTCCTGAAATGGATGAAGATCGATCAGTTCTTTTTGGTACTGTGACTCTGTGTATTCCTGCCATCTTCTCTTGATGTTTCCTGCATCATTCAATATTCTGCCCATAGAATCTCTCAATATTGCAACTCGAGGCTTAATTTTTTTCTTCAGTTGCTGAATTTAGAGGTCTGTTTAGAAATGTATTATTAATATCCCTCTCAGTTTGATTTCTCCAATACTGCTCAACTGTATTTCAAATATAAATAAATATGAATTAATTATATATATTGCTTTTTAAAATTAAAACTGGGAAACACAAATATTTTGTGCAATCAATAAAACAAATGGTAAAATACTTAAAAATGATAAATCCCTTAATTTCAAAAGGCCAGAGAGAAAAAGGGCACAGAAATTGAGGCAGCAGGAATTAAATCACTGTCTTCTAAATCTATGCACAAGGTTTTCGAAAAGCTGTAATTTTTTTTTTTTATTATTAAAACAAACTAAAATATAATCCAACTGAAGTTTTAGGACTGAATGTGAAAAATATTTCATGCACTCTCAAAGATTTTGGATTCAGTTCCTTTTTTTTTTTTTTTTAATGAATGCCTGTACTATTAGTAACATTTTGTATCACTAAATATCTTTTCCTTCCTTAACTTCCAGAGTCACCTTTCTTTGGAAAGAACTTACTGTATGTTGCTTCCCTGTCTAGCAAAAGACTCATTCCCCCTGCCCACCAAGGATCCTGACATGTTTTACCCTAAAGAAAAGTCCTTCTGCTAATAGTCTGTTTTCAGTCATTCTAAGTGGTCACACAGGAATGAGATCAGGTATTTGGCATTTTTGCTGAATCACATCCAAATAATAACAAAGACTGAGGTACCAATACTTGCCTTTGTCCTGTAGAATAGCTCTAACAAGGTCTAAATACCGTCACCTGACAAATTTGTCATTGTGGGCCAATCCCCCACCCATATGAAATCAGAATTCATCAATATAAATAGAAGGCCTAACACCATTACAAGAAATGTTTTTCCCATCTCACCTAATGATACATTGTCTACTCATGTACCTACTGAATCAACTAAACATCAACTTCCAACCTAATGGTACAATGTGGTTCAGTCTAATAAGCTTAACATTTTATTGCTTTCCTTTCTTGCGTCTGAATTCTAATTTCACTCTCTGAGTTCACTTCTCTTCACTAATCCAGTCTGCCACTTCTAAGAAATCATTCCCCATCCTAAAGTCATCCTACAATCTTAAGTCCCTAATAATATAATAATAGAAAGACACGCAAAATACAAGACCAAATTTTTAATATCAGAATCAATAGATTTAAAATTACATTTTAACAAACGTAACAGGGGAAAATGAATTATAAAAACTTTACACATTTCTTCATTGAAAGTATGCATATAGACAATTATATAAAGAATTGCTATTATGTTCATAACATTTCATAGTTCCATAACATTAACTAAACAGAAAGTTAAAAGTGAAATAGCAAATTCCTCACACTAAGTGTCTACATACATACTTTGCACGAACACTTTATATATCAATATCTAAAGTTTTTAATGTGACAAATGAGCTTGCTTCTTGCTTGTTAATTTGTCTAATCTAGGTTGGATTGATGACAATGCTACTCTTAGGGGATAATGGATATTTAAACTGTTTCTGTGTTTTGTTTTAATAACGCTTAAAGTAGAGAAGCCAGTTTCACACAAGTAGGTTGAGGGGAATAAAAGAAGAGATTTTAAAGCAATCTCGGCAAGCTCAGGATATTCATTTTTAACTTTTATCCAAAATGAAGCAAGTGATGCTGTATTTTCAAAATTTATCTTCAATCCTTCATCAGTAGCCAGCTTCAACAACTTATCCTGTAGGGTTACAGTTAAATTATTTTTTGATGAAAGAAATGGATTTTGGATCCATGAATTTCCTATGCGTGGATCTTCTTTTGATGGAAAATAAAATTCAAAACATTCTAACAAATTTGTTAGATGTTCATTGATAACTTTTCGCAGATGCACAATATCAAGATCGTTTCCTACTTCACTAATAATTGTTGTTAAATTATGGAACATGTCATAACAATCTGTGGAAACTCTGTTTTTCCATGTTTCCAACTTTTGTTTTTGTCCTTCAATTTTATCTGCCATTGAAAAACATGTTGCATTCTTTCCTTGCATGGAAGCATTGAGATCATTAAAAATACTGAAGATATCAGACAAATAAGCAAGTCTGGCTGTCCAATTCACATCTTTAAAAAGCTGGGACCAAACTGGTTTCTTGCTTTGCAGAAAAAGTAAGAGTTCATTTCGTAATTCAAACATTCTCGACAGCACTTTTCCCCGTGATAACCACCGTACCTCAGCATGCAGTAGCAGTTGCTTATGATCAGTTTCCATGTTATCACATAATAAAGAGAATAACCTTGAGTTTAACGCATTAGCCTTTACATAATTCACAATTTTTACTATGTCAGTAAGTACACTATTTAATTCAGCTGATATTGTTTTCATAGCAAGACTTTCTCGATGAATGAAGCAGTGTGTTGTTTTACATTCTGGCGCTAGCTCTTTAATCTGGGTGACCACTTCAGAATGTCTTCCTGTCATTGAAGCTGCACCATCAGAACATATTCCTACACAAAACTTAAATTCCAAACCACATTTGTTGACAATGTAATTCTTCACAGCTTCATACAGTTCTGAGCTAGTTGTGTTTGTAGGCAAAGCAGCTGAAAAAAAGAATTCTTCCTTTATATCATCATCATGTTCAAATCGCACATATACTAAAAGAACTATCATGTTAGCTATATCTCTGCATTCATCAAGTTGCAAAGAAAAATACTTTGCCAGCTTTATTTGTTCTATGAGTTGGTCTTCCATATCATTAGCCAGTTCCTGAATGCGTCGAGCTATGGTGTCATTTGACAGTGGCACTTGAGCTACTTTTTTTGCTGCAGATTCACCCAACATTTCCAAGCACACTTCTTTGATGCAGTCTTTCACTAATGTCTCGGCAATTGTGTATGGTGTTTTAGACTTAGCAACCGGAAGCGCTACTTTATAAGAAGCGCGCAAAGCACTAATGTTTATATGTGAAACACTGAACGCCTGCTTTGGTTGGCTTTTTAACTCACTACTTTTTCTTTCAAAGAATTCTTTTGGTTGTGAACTTATTTCTTTATGCTTTGAATATAAATGTCGCTTAAGTTTTGATGGTTTCATTGCTTCATTAGCCAGTATATCTCCACAAATAATACATTGTGGTTTTAGCACTTCACCATCAATTATGGCTACAAAACCAAACTCGATATATGAGGGATCATACTTCCGAGTAAAACTGGTGTGCACCCTCTTGGGTTTCACTTCTTGAGAATGACTTCCATTGTTAGCATTTCTTTTACTACTACTGCTGTATTCAGAAAAGGTGTGTCTCTTCTTGACTAAAAAATCCAGTGATGCTTGTTTTGCCATCTGTAAATTAGGATTAAAAATAAACAATTCAAAATTAACTTCTCTCCTTTGGCTAATAGTATTAACTACAAATTAAAAATTAGGCTTAATTAAAAACTTAAAAATGATTGTAAAACTGAGTTATAAAAGTAAATAAATACCTACATTGTCTCAGAGTTTTATATACTTTTGGTTATAGCTGACAAACCAACCCCAAAATACCACACACTGTAACGTGATCCTACTGTGCATGTCCAGTGTTCCACTCCCACTCCAAGTGACTCACTTTAAGAGTTCAATAACACCCAACTGGCCTATACTCTGTTCAGCAAAATGAGTTCATTGATCATGTGCTTGGATATTGTGGCAATGTCAAATTGTTACAATAATTTGTAACAAGTTTCCAAACACTTCCAATTTTGATACTTATCTCATTATAGATTGCAGATCACACTTTGAAAAGCACTGGCCTAAATCATGTGTTATCTCCATATTTTAAAACTCTGTTGTGAACACACATTAGCCCTGCCTTAGAAAACCTACTGATTTAAAATTACTTTGGCCTTCTCTCAGACCCTCCATTTAAATCCCCAAACCGAACTTTTTCCTGCCACAAATCTATATTGCCCAGCCAAATTTTCATTCCCTACCCTCTCCTGAACATCCTTTATTTGACCTAGAATTTAGGCCCTTCTGCCACAGAGCAGCTGGTGAATTTGAACCACAGGCCTTTTGGTTAGCAGCCAAACACCTTAACCATTACACCATTAGAGCACCCATCATGGTCATCGTAAAGTATAATGAGGCTCTTCCCTTGCTTTGGTCTATAGCAGATCAACTCTTACCCAGTCTCCTACTTGGTCTGGTGAAAATGTTGTCTCTGAAGGCTTTAGCATTTTGTTTGGTTGAACAGCCAAACTTCTTTGAGTCTCATCAAGTTTCCTTTTCCTTGTAGTGGTCTCATAGCAAAGACTACAAGTTATTCTGTGTCCATAGCTATCAGTCTCACTTTGAGAGGACACTCCACATATTGCATGGACGTTTCCGTCACATGATACACAACTATTAGCACCTGTGCATTCTTTCTCACAAACTACACAAGATAAAATTCTTATTCTACTTTCAGGAGGGTTTTTTTCTGCCACTTTAGGAGTAATAAAAAGATTCTCTTCGATATCACTACTATCTGTTCCAGTCCCAATGTTTTCTTCACACTGGGCTCTTAGAGTATTTTCTAACTCTTTGTCAGCTTGTTCTAATTCATTTTCCGTGTTTAAGTTAGCAACAAGTTCTTCAGTTAACTGGGAATGAGACAGGGCCAGTTTTGCTTCAGGGCTAAATGTACCTTCACAGGAAGTCCATTGCATGTCTCTGTGATAGGGTTGATTTTGGGTCATCTGAATGAACCACAAACATTCAGCCCAGTGTGATGAGTTGTTAGCTTGCATCCATGAAATAATCTTATTTGGGATATCTACACTAGTTTTTTCTATAGAATTTTGGCTTTGGCAGGTCTGTGTCTTCCCATGGACAATTTTCAACTCTGGCCAAATACTACTGAGTTCACTAACAATCCGGCTTGAAAATTCCCTCCCATTGTCAGATTGTAAGACACTGGGTGCTCCAATAATTGTAAAAATATCTAAAAGGGCATATGCAACTTCCTTGGGCCTTTTAGATTTTAATGCCCTCAAAAAATTTAATTTTGTACGGAGGTCTTGATAATGCATAATAAATTTATACTCCCCATCAGGATTTAATTGCATATCTATAAGATCCACTTGACATCTTGAATTAACTTCCCTGATTGGCTGTACTGTTGGAACTTTCTTGGGTTTTGAATTTTTCTGCTGGCATGGTTTGCAGAGTGCCAGATACAGCATGATAACTTCTTTTGTAATGTTCTTGTATTTCGCCTGTAATTCTTTTTCCATGCGGGTGCGTCCTCCATGTCCAATACTAAGATGTGTATCATGCAGAATGTCAAATAAGTCCTCACTGTGTAAATAATACCGTATTTTGCCTGTTTCCTCATTTACAGCCTCAATCAGTTTCTCATTTCCTTGGACAAGGATCACATCAAATCTTGCCAAGCGCCGGTAGTCAACTGATTCCTTTTTTGCCTTAGCTTTAGCCTCTTTCACTTCCCTTATCAATTGACAGTACTTAGCTTTGGAAAATATCTTGGTATTGTTACTTTTGTTTTCCAGTAGCACTGCTAAGCTTCTGAAGAACTTTTCTCTCATGGTTTCTGGTTCAATTTCTCCTTCATTAGTATCTAAGCTACTGAGGTTATCATCATCCACACTTTGGGACATCATGGAAAGCCACGAAAATGACCCTAAAATAAAAGGAAAAAATAAATTAGGATATTGGGAATGTAATTTAAAATACAGATATTGCCTCTCCCCCCCAAAAAAAAAAACCCACTATAGCTTATGGTGGAAATGGGAGTTATGGATACATAAGAGAGGTATACAATTTTGGTCAGAGTGTCCAGCGTTGGAGGGATGAAGAGAGGATGAGTGAAGAATGCTATCCTAAACAAAAATTACTGACACAGTAAAGCTGAGGCATGACTTTTCAGAGCAGTATTTGGAATCACTCTTGAGTTGTATGTAAACTCTGTTTTATGTAAAACAGGAAACAAATTACTATTATTATTTTTAAATTTTATCATGAATTTATTTATTTTATTTTTATTTTCTTTCTTAACTAGACATAAACACATATTTATTTATTTTTTTGGCTAGAGAAGTCTTAGCAATATATTCATAGATTAAAAGAAAAAGTCCCAGATGACACTGTATTTTCTGTTTCATTCGGGTTAGCTGTTATATCAACATTTGAAGTTTAAGTTCCAATATAAGGTACTTATTTCGGTTCCCTTTTGGGCCTTGTGAAACT